AATTTCATTTGATCGTTTGACATTTACTCTAATCGCATAAACTGATCTTATTGCAGTGTTTTCTTGTAATGTAGTTAATTTAATTGCGAAACTCACTCAGATGTACACTGTGTCCATGGACCCATATAATAAGTTCCGTTGCATTTTTCTTCATTCGTACAATTCTTGGTTTTTGGTGGCTTTCTATCTTCAACACAATGCGATTCATCCACAACCTGCAAATTAGATGAACTCATTATTACCATTATTATACGCAAACATTCAATCAAACCTGTACACAACTCAAAGTAATCGCCTTTCAATCATATGCGACGGTTTAAAAAGAAACTGTACAGATGGGGAAGTGGGAATAACAAACCGTTAGATCGCCGAGTTCGTGTATTGCGCAAACAACTCGTCGATCTTGATGACCATGCCCGCATTCCGTACTACATTTTGACCATTCAGATGAATGCCATTCGTAAACGCATGGCTAAAACACAATGACAGAGTTTGTTATCAATGAAGTGATCAGAAATTTCATTGTATTCTATTCAGTAGCATTGAATGTTCAAAGTGAAATTTCAAATAAATTATTGAAAAATAACAAGAATTACAGGTGGTGTTGCGCATGATCGAGTATCAATCGGTATTTCGGTGGTATTGTCGTTGAGACATTTCTCCAGTGGATACACTCGACCGGTTGGGTCTTTGCATGTCACATTGCGTGTCTCTTCCGTATCGTTGCATTTTTGGCACTAAATTGGAACTTTGAAACTTTAATCCTCAAGTGAAATCACAACTACAAAACGAATAATCGTAAAGAACTCAATATTCTTATTGCTTTTTAAAGATCGCGATCAATTCTTGAACGAGAACATTATTTCATTCAAACATCTTATAATATAAGTGTGCGTGACAAGAAGTTACTTTTACATCACAAGATGTTCAGGAATTCCGTCAATAATTCCACATTAAACGAGAAGAATTTTCAGGAGTCACATAAGCGAAGGCATTTATCACATACCAAATTCCACTCAGAAGTGGTGAATGTTAATCCCTCACAAGGTCCCAAATTACAACTACGTCGATTCTCAACCACAAGATCACCACAAGCTTCAGCAGGTAGCAATTTGCCTTCCTCTCCTTCCTTCTCACTTCGACACGTCACCGAACGATACTGATATGCATCACCACATTTCTCAGAACATGCACTCCACGGTCCGGCTTGCCATTCAGGGCAAGAGAACCTGTAAGAAGCTTTTCCCAAATGACCGTGGTGATCTCATTCTATTACGAACGAATGAATCTCAGATCATAACAATCAGAAATTATTGTTACTGTTATACCTTAAACGAGAAGAATTTGCAAGTGTCACGTAAGAGAATTACACTGAAATCTCCCTCCAAATTAGTTATGATTGTCCATAATCAAATATTTTTTAGAATCTTGATCAGATATTGAAAAGTGCTTCATGGCAAAGTGTTGAACAAAACAATTCAATCGCAAAAAAAAAACCAATTGGCTGGAATCTGATGAGCTAACGAGAATAAAATTTAAAATTCAAATGCAAAAATCGCACACACCTATTACATTGTTGCTGTACAGGTGGACGTTCCGAAGTGCAATTTGCATCATCAATAGTGACTCGCCGTCCATCGGCGTATACGGTATGACAATAGACAACACGATACTGTGAACCCGTACTGCCGCACGTTTCCGAGCACGGTTCCCATTTGCCTTGATACCATCTGAAATATAAACTCAACTAGTAAAGGCTTCCATTGAGAAGAATTCGATTTGTATTGAGCGTCAACGATTACAGTCTCTGGACGTTTCACAAAAAATTGCCTTACACTCAATAAAATGATCATAAAATTCCGGAACGAGTTCAGTTATGAAGCAGATCACAGATCTGCCATAAGAATGGGTTATCATCACTCACTCGGCTTCGCAATCGATCGTTTCACATTCCTTCTCGATCACCGGTTTTGTGGCATTATTTTCGTCGCAAATCTCATCTGCAACACGATCTCCAGACGCCATCTCAACACAATACGGTGTTCGTGTCTGCACTCCTTTACCACAGGTCACTGTACATGCGGTCCACTCGCCAGGCTTATACATATACGGTTTATCTTGTTCCAACGGTACAGAGAATTCATATTGGATTGCACTTTCCTAAAACAAAAAGAATATTCTCCCACTGCAACGAAATCCTTGCAATGTGTAACTGACCTTCAAGTGTGATCAATTTAATAAACTCATCACAGACTATTGAATCCATGATATTAACAGAAAGGTTTCATCCGAATTTGTCTTGAACGTGCGATAATTGTGTCACTAGCAGACATCGGATGATTCAGTTTATTGGCGATGATAGGTGATGATGATTAGCATAATATGAGGTAATCATTCAAAGAGAACGGAAGACGTTCTTCAGTAACCTTATTGCCGGATTGGAAAAGCAATGCAATGATGAGTTCTTCATTGGTTGGTCCGCGAGCGACCAATTTCTCGAAGGCACTACCTGCACGTCGAGACTTTGAATTGTCATACTCGAATACGGTACCACCAATCTCGATATCCTTATCGATCACTTGAATCTGGTAGTTTCCATTCAAATAGAAGTGATCCGAACTATTTTTGATCGCTGAAAGTATGCTTGTTCGCTCTTAATACCACAGTTACTCTTCGAATCTGTCTCAAATTTCGAACCAACAAAACCATGAATCATAAGTGAAAATAACATTCTCCCAGAATTCTATTGTACAATCTTACAGCCTTCAATTGAATTAACAACNAGAAAATTCGATTATCCTAAAGAATCACTCTTAATTGAAATGAATTTTTACCGAGCGAGTTTGTTGTTGGACGCATTTCTTCAACACGAATCGACGTAGCGCCGACAGGTAATCGAATAATGTTATGATATCCAGGCGTCAAATTACGTTCGTCGAAAAATCCTTCGATGGTTTTACACGTTGATCCATTGCCACCGCAAACACCACATTTGTCGTCTTTGACCGCAGATCCCAATTTCTTATCACAGCCCACAGGCAAACAGATGCCATCAACACAGATATCGTCTCTTGTTGAATCGCATTTCGTTCCATCAACAACCTCAACGCAAAATACGTTTAGTTCCATATTTGTTCTCTTTTTATGAAGAATCCATGCAATCTCTCACCTTCGATTTCAAAATCTGCTAACATTGAGTGAACATTTAAATGCAAATCATATCAACTTCTTACGATCGTCGTTACTCAAATCACGTTTTTATAGTTGATAAGATGAATTTCAAG